TTGGCTTCTTGTGCTTCTTTGCATCTGCCAATTTCTACCATCCTGACTTTGTTTAGGATGAGTTCTTATCCAGGTTGTCTGCTGACACAGGTGTAGCAGATACACTGAAAACCCTTTTTCCTATTGGTTTTGAGAAATAAGTTTTTAATGAAAAGAAAGTCAGGTTCAGAATAATGCCAATCTCATACGTGACCTGTTTTGCATGCTGGCAATGAAGGCATAATTAACATTAAAATCTGTGTCTCTTTGCTGGTTTCACTTTACCTTCTTTGTAAATCCCTGACAGGGTGAGGTGTGGTGGTCCTTCTCTGAAGATTCTACTGTCCAAATTTAGAAAATAGAAAATGGTGAAGGGTACTAGTAAAAGCAAGTTTACTGCTAACTGCTGTTTATGAATTGCAGGTTTTTTAATGCTCTGATAAAGGAGTTATCATCACATCTAGTAGGATAGTGGAGGTTGTAATCAATAAAGCATGCAATTGATACATTCTAGTGTGAATTTATGCTCAGCAGGGTAGCTTAAAGGAGAACTATTTTTGTGTAGATTACACTATTCTGCCCCTAATGCCAAATGACCTGTAATCATTCTAAGGCTACTGCAAAAGGGGTATTATGTGATGTGTTTTCCATATATGCCATTAAAGAATTTGAGTAACTCAGGATAGGCAGAAATACCTTTTCTGTCTGTGGAGCTGCAGTCTCATTCTGATGGTACCTGACCTTAAGGCACTGCAAGACCTGATGCTATCTGGAGGTCAACATAGACTTTAAAGCATAACTTTGTGCAGTGGTTGGGTAAGAACATCAGGTCGGGTGTGCTTGTGCCGCACGTGCGTACATCCACAATCCCACCCTCTGCCTGTACTAGACATGCTATCACGCTACTTATAATGCTTCTAATTTGCAGCATGAATTAAATCTGAAGTCAATTTTGTAATGTAACGTCTTGTGAACTGGAACTGTTTGTTACCAGGTTGGGGAGATGATTATAATCAGACTCCCTGATGTGTTCTGCTTAGACCGATGCTGCAGTCCTTTCTGGCTGTAGCTGTATGATGCTGCTGCTCAGTAACCATTACAATTCTGTTTTATGTGATTTGTTTCCCCAAGAACTTGGCCCAACACAGGCATTACCTATGGCTGATTCAGAATGCCACCTCTTCACTGTGTTCTGTAACTGGCTGGTGCTCTCTGATTTTTCTCCTGCCATTGAGTTTCTTAATGTGATGGTGCTCTTCTGTGTACATGTGGTCTGGGCAGTACAGGAATGAGAGATGTAGGTGAACATACACCCGCTTTTTTGAACAACACGCTTAGGTGAACACTGACTTTTCTTTATAGTCTCCACTTAGATATGCAGTATGTTCTAATTCAAAGGTCGTGGCTCACTTTGGTATCATAAGACTTGTTGAAACCTTAAAAGTCTTAATCTTGCATGCTTCCCTTCCTACCCCCCCCAGGAAAGGACATGAATCACTGAGTTGTAGACACCTGCTCTGGAACTGAACTTGCTGCTTACACAGCACATAAGCTTTCATTTGAAGGCTAATGTGTGGATTCATAAGGCATTTTTGGAAAAATGAATAGGCTTGTATCTAAAATGTGGCTACGAAAGTCTCTTCTATAGGCAATTCCAGAGTGTATTTATCGTCATCATATGCTTCATGAAAAGTCCATGGAATTGTGTTCAGAGTATTTCTTTAATCAGATAGGATAGCGTAGAATCTTCTCAGCGTACGTGGTAGCTGACATGAGAGTATGAGGATGTATAAGCACATTGGTAGAAGAACACTGGGAGGTGAAATTGATTGGAGTATGTGTTGAATCAATACAGTTATTCCCAAAAGGGCCTTTCTCAGTGAAATGTTGGTTTTGACCATGTGGAATAACTTGTTTAGTTTTAGCATTTGTCACAAGCGGAGGCACCTCTGAATACCTGGAAAAAAAGGGTATACTTTTATTCTGATTAAAATTGTGTATAGGTTTGGGTTTGTTGGTTTGTGGGTTTTTTTTTCAGTAGCTATTTTTTTGTATTAGGTAACCTCAGATCCATACACTTAGGATGTAGCCTTTCATCTCTTCCAGATGAACTTCCAGTTACCTGGGAAATACATTAAAAGCTTTGAAGTGATCTGTATTTATTAGATGCTAGGTAATTTGCAAAGTAGTCACTCTGTTTTCTGTCTGCTTGTTCAGAAATCAGCTTCTAGTAGACAGCCACGGGTAGCTGGTATATTGTGTGCCTACTCCTGAATAGCTGCTGTTCACAGCCTGGTCTGTCAGCGTAAGGATACAAAATTCAACTTTAATTCATCAAGCTGTGAAACTGTAGTACTTGAAGCTTTGGTGCCTGATCTTTCTCAGATCTGGATGCAATAAAATTCTATAGTTTCATGAATTGGAGCCACAGAGACGCAGTTAAGCTATCTTGAGTATAAGAGAAGAGACGAGAAAGCTTTCATGGCTTTTTGCTCTGCAGCATTGGCTCACCGAGTCTGTTGATTGTCATGGTGCTGCTGCCCCTCCTCTCCCCCCAACAGCTGCTGGTTCTTATTTGCTGAGATCTATTGAATGATTTTGTGGAGCAGTGCTGTAAAGACTATTAGGTCTAATAAATTACCTTCTGCAAACCATTTTATTTCCAACCTGGATCAGTTCAGTGTTGGAGGGATGCTATGCTGAAAATCAGATTAGCCTTAGCTGTGGAAGACAGAGGGTGATGCAGATGGCTCAAAGTGGGAGAGAGTGGAGCAGGGGCAGTTCCTTTGGCTGGCACTCTTGCTGAAGAAAACAGGGTATGAACCTGTGGCCTGCGTTAAAACTCTAAATTGCCATAATCTGAGCTGCAGTGTGGTAAGCAAGTGTTCCTACAGCTGTTCCAAAGCATGATAATTTTCTAACTTAAGACACCTCTATAAGCAGTATGTTTTTAAAACTACTTCAGTATTAAACCTGGCCTCAAAGTGCTGCAAGTTAGCTGTCTGCATCTCGGGTAAGTGCTGTTGCTAAAAGAGAGGTTCCTACTGTGTCTTTGCTGTTTTGTTTCCACACATGCACCACTTTTAAAGTCCCTGCAACTACAGTAACCAAATCGAGGATTTGCTGTGGTTAAAACTTTGTTGTGGATGTCCATGTCAGCAAAAGGGAAGGGGTAGAAATGGGTATCAGGAGAAAGGTGCTGGTGCAGTTTATATTCGGTGACTCCATAGCTATAGCATAATTGTATCCTAAGAGCAGACCCTTGCTTCTGAAAAATTACTGTCAAGATATTAATGCCAGGCTTGAAATACAGACTGGCTCCAGCACCTGAGATGAGCAGGTGTCACTTTCCCAAATAATGTAGTGTCTGGCGAGACCAGCAAGTATGTGTGCCTTCATTGATTCATCAGCTCTTACATTACAGAGGTTAGTACAACTTGGCTTCCTTTCCCATATGATAGAATGAATGCCGTAGGTGAATAATTGGTTTTATTCTGTCTGCTGGCCCCCACCCCTCATTAATTATTTGCTGTTGTCCTTTTTTTAAGTAGTTAGGATCAACCCTTTTCCTAGGTATTGATGTTTGAGAATATATTTTTTTAATGCTTTTCTTGTTATATCTGGTGATAAGCTGCAATTTGAGTACAGTCCAGAGAGATTTGAGCAACACCCTAGATACATCCTTGTCCTAGCCCTCTTTTCAGTTTGGTATTAATATAGGCATTTATTGAAATGTATTATCTTGGTTTCCTTCTTGTCTTCTAGCTGCTCTCACGCACATCTGGCAACATCCTTCATAATGTATTTGGATAGCAGAGAGTTACAGAATTGTATGCCAATCTTAATCTGTTTAGATTACCTAATAGGTTGTGATTTTCGTAAGCCTAGGAGTACTGGCAAAAATAAATCTATTCTGCAAGGAGTAAGACTTGTCACCTTTGATGCTACAGATGGGGATTTATGTCTTGGAGATTGTTCTTCCACACATAGCTATTCTTTTATAGGGTAGCTATTCTGTAACTTTAAGGACTACAGATAGCAATTTGCATCTAATGGCTGGGTTTCTATGTTTTGATACATTGACTTTTGAGATCTGATCTTTAACTTAACTAGACTACTTGTTCAAAGAATTAAAACCATGGTTTTCCCCCTAGTGTTATGAGTGAGCCCTTGCCTTTTAGCTGTGAAGTTTTTTCTGTAATAGCCACAAATATTATGTGTTACAGTAATTGTGCTCGAGATGGGCATGCACATTTATTATATAACTAGTCAAGCTCTTATCTTCAGGAGATGGTATGTAAGTAGCAAGATCACTTTTAGTGTGGATTTTATGCAGAAAGCCTTGCTTTGTTCTGTGTGCTGACATATATGCAATGTTGAGACTGTGTATACAATGATTTTTTTGTCTGTGGTGTCATGTCCACCTCATGGATGAGTACAGTGTTTACGTCAGCATCTTTAGGCTGATGGCTACGGAGACACATAGATTATGCTTGTTTTGTTACCATAATATAGGCTTCCAAAGTTGAGTCTATTTTGATATTTTCCAGTTACTTTTTCAGTTCTCATAATCCTGAGAATACATTGTTTAGATTAATAAAACTATTAATTTCTATTTTGTTTTTCCCTGTGGTGAGTCTGGGAAGCCTCACTCTTCTGTTATTTGCGTCTACCTAGTTCTTGGTGAAGGGAGAAGGCAGTTTTTTCATTTTGCTTGCCCTGGATGTAAGCAATTCTCTCTATGCAGCTTTGCAAGCTAAAAAACTTTAATGAGATGTTAGACCAAACTGCACGAAATTAGTAACTGTGACTTTGGTTATATCAACAACTTTGCAACCTCTTATATGGAGACTAAGTATTTATCGGTAATGGCTGAACCTAGCTGGAAGTATTTGGAGCTGGGCAGGGGTGATGCAGAGCTTATAGCTGATCGGAGGGTCAGGGACTACTCTGAAATGCCTGTAATTTCTTGAATTAATATCTCACAACTGCCTCTCTTTAAATTTCTACTATAGGTAAATCATATTGTGCACAATGGAGGATTATACAAAAGGCCTTTCAATGAAGCTTTTGAAGAAACACCGATGCTGGTTGCTGTGCTGACCTACGTAGGCTATGGTGTTCTCACTCTCTTTGGATATCTGCGAGATTTCATGCGGCAGTGGAAGATAGAGAAATGTCAAAATGCAACAGAAAGAGAAGAGCAAAAGGTAAGCACTGGGAAATAATGGTCCATGGGAAATTATGCGGCTGAGGCTATAGCTTGAGCATTTCTTTAGGGAGCAGTGTTGTTCAAAGTATTCTGCTGTTTTACTTGTCTTCTGAGTGCCCCAAATATTATACTAGTACTGCTGTGTTGTCAAACAAAATACTGTTTCTTCTAGTTGGGTTATTTTTTGGCAGAGTAGTTCCCTCATCTGGTTCATTGCAAAGCTGCATCAACAGTTATATCAACAGGCTGAGAGATGCCCCAGCTGCAGAAACAAGAGCATGGGGGGAAAAGACTGTATATGCCAGCAGCAGCAGCTAAAGAAATGCTTATCAGAGAATCTGGTTTGAGTTTGACAGCAATGGGAGGCTTTTTAATGCTGCTCTGGTGGCTGTGTTTTGATTTGGAGGCATGCTATTCATTCTCTTTAGCCAAAGCAGTTGCAAAGAAAAGCTTCTGGATGAGAACCAGAGCACAAGCTGTATCACTTTAAATTCATTTGGAGTCCAGAACACCCGCAGGTTAGCTGGTGAGTAGTCTGAGGTACTGACTCCTGACTCACTGATAGCAGTTAAAAAGAATTAATTTGTAATAAGACCTAGTCACAAAAGCATCTGTTACCCGGTGAAAAATCTTGCCTGTTTCAGCAGTCTGGAATAGATAATCCTAATTTTGAGTAGTTGTAAAATACTTTGAGAGGCCTTTATTCCCCACAGCAATTAATTACTGTTAAGAAAGCTACTCTTTAAACTTGCAGTTAGCAAACTATTTCCTGCTAACTCTTAGTGTGAGCCCTCTTAGCATAGTGTGAATACCAGTGAGCTTTGCTCCTATAGTGAATTGGCTTACTTTTGCTGATCAGGGTTCTGTTTGTCTCAGCTGCTTTGGGGAGCCAGTCTGATTTATAAGAAGGAGTTTGTTTTCCAGTTGCTGGTTTCTGGTCCTCTCGGCAGACACACAAGCAGTTGGCTAGCAGAGAATAGGGGGGGCAGTAAGGATATCTCACTAATGCAAACAAATAATCAAGGGTGGGAGAGGAGAAGAAAAAAGAGGAAGGCTTCTTTGGAGGCAGCAGCACAGTAAAGTGCATGTCATCTTATGGCAGATTAGCTAAGATGCAGTAAACTAACCAGTGCCTAAAAGCACTTCACAGTAGCTTCTTTGAGCATCGTGAGGTAGAATTAAGTTGATTCACAGTAAGGCGCTTAATTCCAAAACAGAAACGTTCTCATAGGAGTTTAATGAGTAATAGGTATTTCATATTTTTTCAAATTACAGGAGTTTAAATTTATAATACTTCCAAAACTGACTACTGGAATCTGGAAGTAAAAGTCTTGGATCCCTTTTAAAAGTTACAATATCAGAATAAGGATTGCTGCCTAAATATCAACTTGAAACTTGATGTTACTCATTAATGTGATTTGAGCTACTCTGGTTTGTCACCTGAGAACGTGGCACCCTTGTATAAACTAGAAGTCGATACAGAAGAGAAAGTCAAATAGTTGCAGAAATCTACCAAGATATTAGAATAAATGTTTAAATATTGGTCTGTACTCAGGGTACTTGAGGATTATAAAGGGGTAAATGAAGTATTGGTGCAGCTACTCTATACTGTAGTAGTTATATTTCTGTTGCACCGTTTTTGTGAAACATTTGTTCTGTTACCACTACATAAGGTGCAAGACTGCTTGCAGTAGTCCTTTTCTGTGGGAGCAGTCATGACTCTCATATAAGAGTGCACAAAAGGAGGACCTTGGGCAGTAGGTCTAATTTGGGAATGCATTATTGATATTGGGCTCTCTGTAAAGATTGTCACAGAGGACATGGAAGCACAGACTTTGTTAGCAACTGTTCGACCTAGTTCTAAAAGAAATTTAGCCTTGAAATTTCTTATAAACTAACTTAGCATTGCATTTTACCCTGAAAGACATTTGCTTAACAACCATACCTCCCGGACAGATGAACTGAAACCCTTTGAATTTGTGTGTTGACCATTGGTTGCCAGGAAAGAGGTGCATGTATTCTGTTTTTGTTTTGTACATAGGATGTCTGTGGACGTAGCTAGTAAGAAGTGCCAGTGAATGTTGCGTAAGAATGAAAAATAGGAAATCCTGTTTAAAAAAGTTCTGGTGTTGAAGAAATCTCAGCCTAGTATACTTCCCCAAATCACGTTTCTAGTGCTTAGGTTGGAATAGCTGTTTCCAATATTGGGCAAATAGAAAAGTGATCATGTGAGGTCTAGAACCTACAGTACTTATCCTCACACTTTGCTGCTTTAGGCTTTTTTTGCCTGCAAATGAGTTGATGAGAGCATGTTGCAGCGCATCTAGTGTGGTAGCCAGGTTTTATTTTGGTGCAGGGCAGGGGTGTGCTTAATGATTTCTTTTGAAACAGTTTCTCATGATTTTCAGATATTTGAATCTCTCAAGCTGCTGGCCGACAGCCCAGTCATCTTTTGGTAAGGGAATGGAGATACTAGTGCTCCGAAAAAGCTCAAAACTCACACTTTTTTTTTTATTAATACGTGAAATTGGAGGAGCCCTGCGGTTACCCTGAGGTAGTCTCTTGTGACCTTTGTGTGGAAAGTAACATTTTTTTATGTAAATTCTAAAAAGCCAACTAGATTATTATGATTTTCTTAAGTATCAAACAAAAGGGTTAGTTTTAGCTTTTTGAAATAGTTTGTAATTGCTTAGGTGAAAAGTTCAAAGCAAAGGCAGTGGGAGTAGCTGTGTAGCTGAAAGGTGTGTGACAACCTGCTTTGTGAGCAAAACAAAGTTATGTAGTGTGAGCCCTTTCGTAAAGGGGTCAATGAACTTGTCCTGAAAGTTGTGGAATTGAAATATGTGGATTTTCTGAGGTGTGTTTCTGAAGGTGATCACAGTTAAAAGCATAAGGTAAGCCTAGGTTTAAAATACGGTATTAAAAACAAAGACCAAATAAAGCCACCTTCAGTTTTTATGTGTTTTGGAGGGCAGTTTATTTCAGTAGAGCAAATCCTTAAATTGTCACTTAATATTGCAATCTTAGAAATTGAAAGTGACTAATTTAAAGAGCAGGCTTTCCAACAGGTCTGTATTGGGACTGTCTCTGATGGTGGGTAAATTCCCTGGAATTTTTTAGACCCTTGAATTGGAATCAAGGATTCAGGAAAACCTAATATTCAATCACCATTGGAACACAAAAGGGCGAAAAGGGACAGGCTTTGCTAGTACTGATTTCCAGGAAATAGTCTGATGGGGTTTGGCTTTGTTTAAAATGTATCCAGCTGGGCTTTTCCTGGAAACCAGTGTTGTGCAGCACATCCTCTCTGAAGCATTACCAGTCTGTTATAAGCATGGGTAAGTGGCAAGATTAACAATTCTCAATTACCCTGGAATCAATTTGTGCATACCAAATTTAATGTAGTGTCTGGTCATATAATGTAGTTAAATTTGCAAAATGCTTGTAGTATTTTATAGGCAGGATGAAAATTATTTTTACCCTTCTTCTGGTCTGTTTTGCCTGTTGATTGGTACCTCGTACATTTTGTGTACAGGAGCAACTGTGCAAAGCGGGGCAGTAACTCTCTAACATACCTCTTCACACTCAGTAGCTTGCCCAGTTAGAACATATTTCTAGCATCTGGGGTTTTCAAACACTTGTTCACAGGAATCTAACTGTAGGATTATCTCAGGGGCAATAAACTGGAGTCTTTTGCTTAAGTTGTCTTAGCATCTGCATGCTCGTCAGAGGCCTCCTGATGGTATAAAGGCTACCCGCAGTTATTGCTCCACTTTTTCTTGACTCATGTACCAGTGAGATGGAACTAGTCTTTCTGCTTCCTTTTAGAAGCCTGAAATTTGTTGCAATTGTCTACTTTATTTCCATCCACAGTCAGTTTTGTATTATCAGGGAATGCATTATGTGAATTGCAGATAAGCCTGGCTGGTGCTCATGGCACCATTTGTTAGCTTAGGTGCAATGCTGTGAAAACTTGGCTCTAAAAGCAGCATAATCACTGCATTTGCATGTCACTGTGCCCCAAGCTAATGGTTACAAAGCTCTCATTATGACCTTCACTTGTAGTATTAATTTACAGTATGATGAAATCTTGGATTCCCAAATCACCTATGCTAAGGTGCTGCACCCCAGGGGGGAATTTTATTCTTCCCTTGTTTCACTCTTTCTTGAAATTGCTATGCCTTTCAGGCTTCTGTGAGACCACTAGTAGTTAAGTTTCTTCATCAGGCATCACCTTACTAATAGGGAATGTGTTCTAGGCTTAAGTTGACAGGATTGGAGCTTTTTAGGACTTCTTAGCTCCATGTTCATATGAATTCAAATGAAAGAACATGCTGCTTTTGCTTCCCCCTTTGGAAACAATATAATGTTTGCAGTTGTTTGACTGTGCTTAATCTGAAGATTCCTCAGAGGATCAACTCCTAGAATATTTTTCTTTCAAATGAAGCTGTTCCATCTCGGGCTGGTATTCTTAGGATCTGTTATGGCTGGAAAGTGTTGGATCTGAAATAGGATGAGAACTTGATGGAAAAATAACAACAATCTCTGAAAGCCGTTTAAAGGTGACAGTGATTGCTTCCAGCAGTAGGACACTGTTGCAGCACAGCGCTGTGGCTGCACGTGCCAAAAATTTGAAATCGTATGGATTGATTGATAGATTTTGTCACCCTTCCCCAAATGCTTTTCTGTGGTTGTCCTGGTTTCAGCCAGGACAGAGCTGGTTTTCTTCATAGAAGCTAGTGTGAGACTGTGTTTTGGATTTGGAATGAGAAACTGTTGATAATGTGCTGATGTTTTGGGTTGTTGCTGAGCAATCAAGGACAGTCCAGCTTCTTGTGCTGGCCTGCCAGCGAGCAGGCTGGGGGTGCATGGGGAGCTGGGAGGGGACACAGCCGGGACAGCTGAGCCAGGCTGGCCAAAGAGATATTCCCTACCATACGACGTCATGCCCAGTACATAAACTGGAGTTGGCTGGGGGGCGGAAATCGCTGCTCGGGGAAGAGCTGTCGATCACGGGGTGGTGAGCAATTGCTGTATTGGGCATCACTTGTTCTTGTACATTCCTTTGTTGGTATTATCATTGTTGTTCCCTTCTTTCTTTCTGTCCTATTAAACCGTGTTTATCTCAACCCACGAGTTTTTTTCCCAGTTCTCTTCCCCGTCCCACTGCAGGAGGGGGAGTGAGCGAGCAGCTGCGTGGTGCTTAGTTGCCGGCTGGGGCTAAACCACGACAGTGGTTCAAAGATTGAAAACGTTTAATTTCTGTAACAAGTTCAGGTGGTCTTTTTGGTGTACTGTCCTCTCTACTGTCCAGCTGAAATGCCACAGTGTGGGGGCAGGGAAAAGAAAGAAAAAACATAACCTGTAAACCAACCTCTCTGCCAGTTCCAAGAGAGAGCTCTCCAATTCCAAAAATCAGTACCAGTTTATGAAGTCACGATATCTGTACCATTTCTCTTTTTTGTCTTCTCAGATGCATGGGTCATGAGAACCTCTTGGGGGGGGTTAGGATTACTGAGGAAATAGACAATCCAGCTTTGATTTATGCTAAAATAACACTTCCTGCCTGTCCTATTCCAAGGAACTTTCTCAAAAGAGTTAGCTGGGGGAGGTTTATTTGGGGGGGGGGGGGTGCGGGACAGGCAACAAAGGGGCTGGCATTAAGCTGATGCCTCACTTAGAGCCCTTTGCTATAATCTTACAACTCAATACCCCCAAAAAACTAAGGGTAGTGTCCCATATTAGACCTTAATTCCTTTACCCATAATTTGTTCCTTGAATTCTTCTTGACTTTTAAGACACCTTTTTTCCTTATCGTAATTCATTAGGTTCAGAGAACTCTACTTCACGGTTAAATCACTTGAAACTTAGTTATACAGTGGGCTTATGAGATCATACCTGCATGTTGTATCTTGGTGGTGTCAACCTGTTGTGGGTGATTGTCTTTATCTCACCCGTTGAGCTTGTTACTCTTCCTGCTTTGTCAGCTTGGGTTTCAAAATAAAACATGCTCTATCTGATCAGTAATCTGAGGTGAGATTGGACTGTATCAGCCCAGGCATACCTGCTTGAGTTGGTATAATGACTCATTTCCAGCCTCCGCTCCTAGCCAAGAACCTTGGCTAAGATCTCAATTGTTTCCTGGGTCACATAGTTAGTGTGCTTGAATAACTACTGTAAACCTGAATTCTCATGTAAAGATGGTTAAGAGCAGTTGAAAATGCTTTAAAGGATCTCAGGAGATTATAATTAGACATAACAAGTACAAGTCCCTCAAGTATTGATCTTCTAATGTGCCAGAGTTTCTTTTTGATGTTCTCACTTCCCCCACCCCTTCTACAATGATGTAGCAGAGGGTTTCAGACACTTGTAGATAATTATTTCAATTTTGTGTCATGAATCGGGACCTTCTTAGTCTATTGCTACAAGTACTCTCATGTGTATCACCACTTTGTAATAGGGTGCAGTAGCTATGTAACTTTTCAAATATGAAGCAAGTTCTCGAATGCATTTGTCAATACCAAGGTGTTTTTCTCCATTGTAGAAGTGACCAGTTTGTTAGTGATTCAGCCTTGAAACCCACTTTCTGCGTGGGACAACATGAGACACTGAAGATGAGGAAGGATAGAGCTGTGTAGCTACTTTAGAAAACTTAAGATTTTCTAGGGGATTACAGCTTTGTATTAGCTGGCCTACCACCCCTGTTAACCTCTCTTGACAAAGAGCCCTCCGAGAAGACCTGGCACATGTAAATAATGCAAAACTATACTTAAGTAGAGGAACGTGGAAGAAATAATTGCTGTTCCACGCATCTTAGCTCATAGAAATCTTGTTGCTGCTGTCTCTCTTTGCTGAGAAAGGACATACTTGTGATTCCCTGGAGGAGTGATCATTGGCTAAATTTGGTTTGTTTTTCCATGGCTGAAATGATGAAAATTAGTATCTTTATGCCTTTTTTGCATGTCATTATGCACAGGCAAATCAGAAAGGGGCTTAGGTGCACCTATGTCTGCTTAGAAGTTGGCACTTTTGGGCTCCATCTTTCCTGTGCAGCTGCTGGTAGGAGGATGCCAGAGGGTGGACCTAGATGGTTCCTTTACTCCAAACTGAAAGGACAAAGTTGTTAAATCATTAAAATAGGAAGGTAAAGAAAAAAGTACTCTTCCTGCAGTCAAGCACTGTAAGTAAAAACTTGTCAGTGGCCATTTGTTTGGGTTGTTATTAAAAAGCTGGCATAAATGCTCCTGATTTTGCTTCAGTGGTACAAATGTCAGGCACCGTTAATATTTGGTCAGAGAGATATTCTGTGTTGCTTATCCTGTCACCAAAAATAAAATACCCCTCACCATGTTTGCATTTCTTTTGTGAAAAACAGGAAGAAATGTTGCACTGGCTCTTACCTTTGTCATAAATTCTACTTTTTCCTTTTGTAGATTCTTAAAAAAGCGCGCTTTTTTCCCCCCCAACAGTAGCAAATGAATTATGCATTCTTATCACTACTGAATGTCAAACTTCCTTTTAATTGAATAGTAATAAGGAAATCTCATGACTTTGAAGCATTTTAAGTAGGCCAGAAAAAAAATGTTCTTCAGTACTCAGATGTCCTTGCTGTTACCGTTAGTTTGACATTCTCGTTCGTTATCCATTCAAGACAGTCACTTACTTTTCCTGAAAACGTTGGAAGGTAAGTTAGAATTCAGGAAATGCACATGCAAAGAAGTCCTGTGGGACTTAAGTGCCGATAAGCTGTGCAGAAGAGAGGTGCCACAATGTAGCTTACTAGCTTGGATTCAGAACAAAAAATCGCAGAAAGTTTTAATGGTAACCTCTATAATAATGCTAGTGCTGCTATATTAAATGCATTTCTTATTTACAGAAAAGAATACAGCAGAATATCTGCGTTTTCAGTTTCTTTGTATATTCAGTAGAGCAGTACATATTGTTTGGTGCCAAAAAGCAATTGCATGTTGCTTGCTCTGCTGAACTCTGAATGTTGAATACAAATCTCTTGCAAAGATTATCTGATCACACATTTCACATAGGGGGTTATTGTATGTTTTGAAAGAGATGCTCTGCTCAGCTACCCAGCAAGAGCTGGAAAGAGAGCCAAGGTATTTCAAGTCCTATTTGAGTTCAGAGAACAAGACCTCATTGTGTCATTAGGAGCTCCCAATTCAGTTTCTGTGTTGCTTTCAGCACTCTGTCTCCTATACGTTAGAATTCTTTGAGGTTTTCTAACTTGATGCATGACCTAATGCCATGATTCTTTTTCCTAGTTGTGGTTGATGGCTTTTAGACTCTATGAGCTACTTAAGTTATATACAAATAAACACCTACTGTTGAGGAAATCTTGGGGGCATGGTAGATTTACAGGTTTAAAAGTTTTGGGAAATCCCATCTAGCAGATGAATCTCTTCAGTTTTGCTGCTGTCTCACCTTCAAATAATTTTGCACTGGCACGGATTTCCAGGATTAAAAACACTTTGGGTGGAATTGGTTTGAAGTCTTGTGATGAATAACTCTAACTTTCTTGAGTTTTCTTGGGGGTTTTTTGTGGTTTTTTTTTTTTTTTTTAATTTATAAATTACAGCTGAATGACAGAAACGACTTATTCCTAGTTTGCTGTAATATGTATTTTCCTTTCACTTTGAACGCTTTTGATGCATTTCAGGACTTTGTCCCATTGTACCAGGACTTCGAAAATTTCTACAACAGAAACCTCTACATGCGCATTCGGGACAGCTGGAACCGTCCAATCTGCAGTGTGCCAGGGGCCAAAGTGGACATGATGGAGAGAGTTTCCCATGATTATAACTGGACGTTCATGTGAGTCAAAATTGAAGAAAAGGCTTCCAACAACTATCTTTAGGTAGAGGGTCTGTAAGTGCAAGTTGCAGGCTATAAGGTTAAAGAAGCAGTGAATTGTGTTTTGAGCTTTCCAGTGGCTTGAATAGATGAATTTTGCTCTTTTGAAACAAGGTGGCTACTTGTGTGTAATCTCTTGACCACTTACTAAGGCTCCCGAGTGTGTTAAGGTGTCATGGGCATATGCCCGTAATAAATTTAATACTTTTGTGTGTGATGACCAGAACCTGGAGTAGATACTTTGGATTGCACTGCTACTTGTGACTTTGTGTTAATTTAGAATCTGTCCTGACACTTGAAGTAAATGTTGCTGCCTGAAACTGAATTTAACATTAAGAACTGCAACAGTCTGTAGAAACAAAATCAGAAATGCATGGACAAGGATTTTTACAAATTGGAAACAACATATCACAAGTTTGATGTGAAGAGGTTTGCTGCACAGTACTCTGTGAAACTAGTCATGTCTCTTCTTGGCTTTCAAGGGCAAAATAATGAAAACTTTTTTCTGCTAAACTTCTTCCTTAATCTCCTTGTCACGTATTGTTAGCATAGGAGTGCCAGATGTGTTTCCTTTTTGTGGTTAGAGGATATCCTGCTTGAGGGACTGCCAAGATAATTGATCTGGAGATCTTATTTAGTAATTGAAAAGAAAGTTGTATGTTTCTGGGATGGAGGGGGGGACATGTCAGAGAAACAACAAATTATTTGAGAGGTCTCCAGTGATTTTAAATATGATAGCAAATTAATCTTTTAATGTAAACTCTTTTGGGAACTAGTTTGAGACCGTAAGGCAGGGAAAGGATTTCTTTCACTGATCGTTTTGGTTTGAGGGGCAGTACTGAAATAATTTAGTGGTTGGTTCTATTGATTTTTAACATTTCAGTGTATATTCTAGGAAACTGAAATAAGAACCTTCTGGTGTAGTTAATTTTTTTAATTGCATGTGTCCTAACTTGTGCTTTGTTAACTTTTGCCTATACCTAACTAACAGGTACACAGGGAGAGTGATAAAGGACATTATCAATATGGGTTCCTACAACTACCTTGGATTTGCACAGAAGGCTGGGACTTGCCAAGAAGCAGCAGCTAAAGTTCTGTCGCAGTATGGAGCTGGTGTGTGCAGCACTAGGCAGGAGATGGGTAAGTTGGAGTAAGATAGGATGTTCCCTGAATGTGTGTTTCAAAGTCTGTAATCTGATCGCAGGTCTTTGAAACACTACTTGTTCCAACTTTTGAACTTCAGACTAATCAGTAAAGAAGCTTTTACTTTAATGAAGACAAATTGACTTGCTGGGTTTAGTTTACATGGCACAGCAGTTGGCTCACTTATGTTTTCATATTTATTTTTTTTTCAGTGTTCTGTTATGGACCTTGGAATAAAGAGCAGCTGGTTGGTGGAAATTCTTCTTATAGAATATAGCAGTAGTGAAAGCTTCTTCTCACTCTGAATTTCTCATTTGTTTTGTATACAGGAAACTTGGACAAACATGAGGAGCTGGAAAAGCTAGTTGCCAGGTTCCTAGGTGTGGAATCTGCAATGGCATATGGAATGGGGTTTGCAACCAACTCTATGAACAT